TACTTAAGTACAAATTACAGTGTAAGGGAGGTAATTCAAACACAACTTTGAATTACCTCATTTACACTGCATTTAAATTATGTATAAAGAATTTATTGTATTGTCTTGTGGTGATTAGCTGTCAATTCATTTTTAGAAGTTACTATTTTAATAATTTTAAAAATGCTGATTAAGGATAATTAATTTTAGCTATGATTATATATGTCATTTTCTATTTTAAGACTTTTATGATGTATTTAAATGGGTTATTATGGTTGCAAACTCCATATTATTGTGTCTATTTTTGGCCCATCTGTTCAGGGTTGGACCTCTGCGGTCGTTTCCAGCTGCGCTCGGCGAAGCAATTTATTGTTAATATGTCTTTTGATTGAGTTAAACCATTTCAATTGATATTTTATAGTGTATCTTTCTATGTTGTGATGTTACACTATTGTTTCAGGTAGGGTGAAGGTTGGCGCCTATTAAAACGTTTAAACCCGCTGTATTTGTTTGCACCTGTCCTAAGTCAGGAACCTGATGTTCAGTGGTTGTCGTTTGTTGATGTAGTTCACAAGTGTTTCTCGTTTCTCGTTTTTTATATAGATTAGACGGTTGGTTTTCCTGTTTGAATGGTTTTACACTAGTCATTTTTGGGGCCCTTTATAGCTTGCTGTTCAGTGTGAGCCAAGGCTCCGTGTTGAAGGCCGTACTTTGACCTATAATGGTTTACTTTTACAAATTGTAACTTGGATGGAGAGTTGTCTCATTGGCACTCATACCACATCTTCTTATATCTATATATGAAAAGTTTTGCTCTTCAATTTTTCCAACAACAAATCTTGTCCTTAGTTTTCTTATAACTTCCTCAAATTGTTCATTCCCAGTATGTAGAAAATCATCTACATGACAACAAATTATTCTACTTAGACGTTGGACAGTATGTTTGGCAAACACTGCAGGGTCCAAACTACATTGTTTACATCCAATTTCATTCTCATCACTGTCACCTGTGACCTTTTCCCACTCAACTTTTATCTAAATCTACACTTTTCTGATCTTCATCAACATCATCTTGAACATTATACCAATGTTTATTTTTCTCGGTTGTTTTTCCTGCTTTACTTAGTACAGTAGCTTTAGTCCATGTGTTTGAATTAGGCAGTTTGTACTGAATTTTGTCATTTTCTTTTAGATTAGGTTTTATTTTTGCCTGAATGTTTTCCATCTGATGAATGCTTTCTTTTGATGTTGATATCAACTTGGAAAAACAATCTTTCTTTTCTACACGGGATACTTCATTATTTTTATTGGTACCTCAGGGTTCATAATTTCCTGTTTCATTTGTATCAGGTGTTTCAAAATTGTCATTTTGTTCCCAAAAATTAACATCTTTAGTTTTAGTTAATCTGTTTGGTGAAACTCTCACAAAGACTCCTCCATGTCGTACAAAAATTACTTATCCGTCCTGGAAAACTACCTTTCCTGGTCCTAGCCAGCGATTTTTTCCCTCTCGCTTATAAAAACGCTGTCACCATGATCAAATATCTGCTCTGATGCTCGTATTTTGCCTCGTAGTGCTCCCCTAATGCGTTCATCTAACTCTGATTGAATGTAAGCTTTTCAAGAATCATGTAAAATATTCAAATGTTTTGCAAGTTCTTCACTTGAAGTTTTTCTTTCTAAAGCTGGCAAAGTGTCTTTCAAAATGTTCGGAAGATTAGGAGTCCCAAAACAAGTTGATTACTACTGAATTCATTCCACATCTGTAATTCATTTCCTGCCATATTTGCCCAACAAAGAAAGCTCTGATCATTCACCTGTCTATTATCTGCTTCCAGCTTCATAAGCATTGTATCAGTAATTGTATGGACTCTCTCACATAGTCCATTTTGGAAAGGACTTTCACCAGCTGTTGTATAGACTTTAACATTCAGTATTGACGCATCTTCTCTTATTTCATCTGAGCTGAATTCACCGTTATTATCTGTTAATATAGTTCCCATAACACCAAATATTCCAATCCAATTAGTCATCATTTTCTCAATAACACCTGTAGTCTTCTTCCTATCAATAAAACAGATACAGTGTATCGTGACCATATGTTGATCATGTGCAAAATCCACCGTCCATTCCACTGTTTTAGGTCCATTGCCACTTTTTCATTGAATTGAGATGCCATAGGTAGGGACACTACTGGTCTTGGTGGTGTTTTTGCATATCGCTTACAAATTTCACATTGTTCCTCTATAGTTGACATTTCTTGTTCATATTCCTCTTTCAAGACTCCAGCATCCTTCAAAAGTGCAATTAAATGCTTCATTGGTGGGTGTGCAAATTGTCTGTGCAACTTAAATACGGTTGCATATCTTTTTTTCAAGTCTGATTCTTCAAGTTTCACAGCACTTACATCTGCGACTGGAATTTCTTCAGTTTTATCTATTGGAATGCAATAGTGACCTGACGAAGTTAAATTCAATGAGATATGTTGACCAAGTATTTCTGCAGTATCATTTTCCAGGTCCATTTTCACACTTGCCTTTTTCATAGCTGTTCGAGACAATAAAAGGGGAATGTCAGAATCTACAACATCAGTTTTTATTGTGACATCTTTACCTGCAATAACTGCAGGCAGACTATACTCTCCAATTGATTTTAAATGTGTTCCACATCCAAATTTAAATACCTTGTTGCCATCCTCCTTCAAAATCTTTGCTTTATCCTTTCTACTTAAGGAGTCAACATAACTCCTCATCCATAATTGTCCACAAACAGTGCTACTACAGGCACTATCAAGAACAGCACAGTTTTGTGCATTAATTCCAAGACAAGTGATATCCTCACGCACATTTCCTGTAAACATGACTACTTCTTCTTCCTCTGTTATATTTACTCTCTCCTGCATATTCTCCCAGCTGTGTGGACAGTTTGCCAACAAATGTCGGAAAAATCCACAAGATCTACATGTCATTAATGTGCCGTCTGCACCTGTTGGATTTACACTCTTATTTACTGTAGAGCTGCCTCCCCTTGTCCAATTTGTTTGTCCACCCCTTTGACTTTTATTAAATCCTCTACTATAGAAATTGCCTCTACCTCTTGAAAAATCTCCCTTAACATTATAATGAAATGGTTTGTGTCTATTTCTTGTATATCCTGCTGCCAGGAGGGCTTCTTTATTCTCAGCCAAAAATGCAGGTTCAAGTTTAATGCTTCCTATTGAGGCAGAGATTTTGTCTGAATCACACATTTCACCCTTAAATTTTTTTTAGAGATCTCTTTGCTTCATCATACAATGTTGGTTTGTTTTCATAATTCATGCCTGTTAGAACTAACATTTTTTCTTCTTTGGTAATTTTGGCTCTTCTCAGTAGTTTAAATGCCAATATTTCGGAGGGCAACTTCATATTTTTCTTTTCAATTTTTCGATACTTAGCATCAAATGTATCTACATAATCTTGAATTGATTGATTAGGGGCCCTTTGAAAATCTTCAAAGTCTTCAAACATTGCAAGACTGTCAGCTAAGTCATCTGTTGCAAGATGTTTGTCCATAAATGCAGTTAGTGTGGTCAGTCCACAGTGTCTTTCTTTAAATCTCTACACTTATCTGATCAAATGCTTTTTTTTTTATTGTGGATTCATCATCTTCAGGCAGGGATAAGGCAATTACAACACTGTTTTTTCTTATCTAACTCAGTTATTTCTTTCCAGGCCAGAAGTTCTTGCTTGTAAAGTTCATATGATTTCAGTTTTGCATTGTAATAAGGGGGGTTTATTTTTGTTGACATTTTGTCCACCTTTGAATTTTCTCTCCACTTTAAACTCTATTGTAATACACTCTGATGTCTTCTTTTCAACCACGCTCTGCTACCATTTGTTAATGCACTCAGAAAGACATCAATAAGTTTTAATAGTTTAATAACTATAAGCACATGTTGCACAAATGATCATTAACAGGAAGAGGACTCACTTCAACAGAAAGTGAGTACTTGTAGAAACATGTAATAGAGTTATCTCTCTTTATATAGTCAAAGTAACATCAAATCAACATCTGTTTCGTGTCATGTCTATCAACCAACATGGCCACTGTGGCTTTAAATAGAATATAAAGGAAAAATGCCAAAGTTGTCAAAGTTCTTGAAAAACCATGATAGATAGAAAATCTGACTGGTGCAAAATTGCCCAGAATAGAATTGAGAATAGAAATGGGTAATGTGTCAAAGAGACAACAACCCGACCAAAGAGCAGTGAGAAAATCCAGCACCCTGAGGCAGGCTTCAGCTGGACCCTTAAGACTAATGTATACTCGATCAGCAAAATGGATGCCACACTAAACTCAGAAAGTCAAGATCTACATTTTCCCCATTTTCCCATTTCCACCAAAAGAATCAGATGAGTCCTTGTAGGAGTTATTGCCCTCAATGAGAATTTTCATGTTTTTGTTGAATATCTTTAAATCTATAATAGATAAGCTGAAAATGTTCATATCCAAAAGGATCATCAAAACAAGATCTACAAAAATGAAAATAAGACTGAAAACCAACAGACAAATCCTTATAGGAGTTATTGCCCTTAAGGTAGATCAGGTGTCTTCAGCCATCTTTGTTGTAAAAAAGCATAAAAAAGTTGGTCTAGATCTTCAATGAAATGTGCAAATTTCGAGAGAAGAATGTAATTTATTTGTAAGAATTTGCATTTTAATGAAGAAAATCATGTATTATATCATATTTTTAGGACTGTTTTTTTTCACAAATACTGAATTTTTTTGTTTGATTAAATTGACATTGCCATATAAGGATAGATAACTCAGACAGAGTCATTTTTATAAAGGAATGACTTAGGAATTTACCTATTATGAACTTTACAAAAGCACCATACATATGAGAACAAGCATTGATAAATAAATAATGCTAAATGAGAAAATTTTAAGAAGAAATTGGAATTGCATGTGTAAAAATTTGTATTGTAATTGTAATCAGTAACATGTTTACCCTTATATTGTAACATCAGTAATATTTTCAGATCAAGAAATGACGTATCAGCAGAGGAGGAGGAAGAATGTTGTATCTGTATGGAAAGCAAACCAGAACTGATACTCCCATGCACACATAGATTCTGTGAAGGTTGTATAAAGGAATGGTATGTATATACATTCCCATGCACACATAGATTCTGTGAAGGTTGTATAAAGGAATAGTATGTATATAAATTCCCATGCACACATAGATTCTATGAAGGTTGTATAAAGGAATGGTAGGTATGTAAACTCTCATGCACACATAGATTCTGTGAAGGTTGTATAAAGGAATGGTAGGTATATAAATTCCCATGCACACATAGATTCTATGAAGGTTGTATAAAGGAATGGTAGGTATATAAACTCCCATGCACACATGGATTCTGTGAAGGTTGTATAAAGGAATGGTAGGTATATAAATTCCCATGCACACATAGACTCTGTGAAGGTTGTATAAAGAAATGGTATGTATATAAACTCCCATGCACACATAGATTCTGTGAAGGTTGTATAAAGGAATAGTATGTATATAAATTCCCATGCACACATAGATTCTGTGAAGGTTGTATAAAGGAATGGTAGGTATGTAAATTCCCATGCACACATAGATTCTGTGAAGGTTGTATAAAGGAATGGTAGGTATATAAATTCCCATGCATACATAGATTCTGTGAAAGTTGTATAAAGGAATGGTAGATATATAAACTCTCATGCACACATAGATTCTGTGAAGGTTGTATAAAGGAATGGTAGGTATATAAATTCCCATGCACACATAGATTCTGTGAAGGTTGTATAAAGGAATGGTAGGTATATAAACTCCCATGCATGCATAGATTCTGTGAAGGTTGTATAAAGGAATGGTAGGTATATAAACTCTCATGCACACATAGATTCTGTGAAGGTTGTATAAAGGAATGGAAGGTATATAAACTCCCATGCATACATAGATTCTGTGAAGGTTGTATAAAGGAATGGTAGGTATATAAACTCCCATGCACACACAGATTTTGTGAAGATTGTATAGAGGAATGGTAGGTATATAAACTCTCATGCACACATAGATTCTGTGAAGGTTGTATAAAGGAATGGTAGATATATAAATTCCCATGCACACCCAGATTTTGTGAAGGTTGTATAAAGGAATGGTAGATATATAAATTCCCATGCACACCCAGATTTTGTGAAGGTTGTATAAAGGAATGGTAGATATATAAATTCCCATGCACACACAGATTCTGTGAAGGTTGTATAAAGGAATGGTAGATATATAAATTCCCATGCACACATAGATTCTGTGAAGGTTGTATAAAGGAATGGTAGGTATATAAACTCCCATGCACACATAGATTCTGTGAAGGTTGTATAAAGGAATGGTAGGTATATAAACTCCCATGCATACATAGATTCTGTGAAGGTTGTATAAAGGAATGGTAGATATAAAAATTCCCATGCACATCCCAGATTTTGTGAAGGTTGTATAAAGGAATGGTAGATATATAAATTCCCATGCACACACAGATTCTGTGAAGGTTGTATAAAGGAATGGTAGATATATAAATTCCCATGCACACACAGATTCTGTGAAGGTTGTATAAAGGAATGGTAGATATATAAATTCCCATGCACACACAGATTCTGTGAAGGTTGTATAAAGGAATGGTAGATATATAAATTCCCATGCACACATAGATTCTGTGAAGGTTGTATAAAGGAATGGTAGGTATATAAACTCCCATGCACACATAGATTCTGTGAAGGTTGTATAAAGGAATGGTAGGTATATAAACTCCCATGCACACACACAGATTTTGTGAAGATTGTATAGAGGAATGGTAGGTATATAAACTCTCATGCACACATAGATTCTGTGAAGGTTGTATAAAGGAATGGTAGATATATAAATTCCCATGCACACCCAGATTTTGTGAAGGTTGTATGAAGGAATGGTAGATATATAAATTCCCATGCACACCCAGATTTTGTGAAGGTTGTATAAAGGAATGGTAGATATATAAATTCCCATGCACACACAGATTCTGTGAAGGTTGTATAAAGGAATGGTAGATATATAAATTCCCATGCACACATAGATTCTGTGAAGGTTGTATAAAGGAATGGTAGGTATATAAACTCCCATGCACACATAGATTCTGTGAAGGTTGTATAAAGGAATGGTAGGTATATAAACTCCCATGCATACATAGATTCTGTGAAGGTTGTATAAAGGAATGGTAGATATATAAATTCCCATGCACACCCAGATTTTGTGAAGGTTGTATAAAGGAATGGTAGATATATAAATTCCCATGCACACACAGATTCTGTGAAGGTTGTATAAAGGAATGGTAGATATATAAATTCCCATGCACACACAGATTCTGTGAAGGTTGTATAAAGGAATGGTAGATATATAAATTCCCATGCACACACAGATTCTGTGAAGGTTGTATAAAGGAATGGTAGATATATAAATTCCCATGCACACATAGATTCTGTGAAGGTTGTATAAAGGAATGGTAGGTATATAAACTCCCATGCACACATAGATTCTGTGAAGGTTGTATAAAGGAATGGTAGGTATATAAACTCCCATGCATACATAGATTCTGTGAAGGTTGTATAGAGGAATGGTAGGTATATAAACTCTCATGCACACATAGATTCTGTGAAGGTTGTATAAAGGAATGGTAGTTACATAAACTGCCATGCACACACAGATTCATTTACCTTTAATTTGTCTTCTTGTCTGATCAATTACATTACTACTCTTTGAAGTAATTTTTTATGTAATTTTTCTTGTTAAAAGCAAAATGTCAGTGTGAAATATGGGAACTCTTCCCCTCAAAGTTCAAACAGATTGCATAAGTTTTTCTTTTCTAAAAACCATTGAAAGTTCTAAGTTAAATCAGTATCTGATGTATATGTTTATTATATCTAGGCACCTATATATTTTATATACTACCAGAAAGTAATATATTGCTTTAAGACACAAGGATTATGATAGCTTTTTCTTTTCAAACAAAGGAATGTACACTTCAAAAAAATGTGTGGACCTTTTGGTTGTTATAAGAACATCATTCAGTTTCAGTTGTTTAAATAGAATAAGATATAATGGCCAACTTTACATTTGATGTATTTTATAACTTTTTAGTAAAATACTTTTACCTTTGGGTAGAGACTTTTAAAGATGGAATTGTAGAAATGTAAAATCAGTGATGGGTAACATATTTGGAAACTGAACTCTATAAATTGAGGGTATTTAATTAAAAGATAGTCCTGTATTTGAAAGAAAGAGGATTTTTGTTTTTGTTTTACAAATCAATTGTTATATTCTTCTGCCAGCTTAAAATGTAACAGCACAAAGAGAGACACTCTAGTTGCACATGATTAGTGTTTGGGAAAGCCGTATTTGTTAATTATCAGTCATCACAAATAACACAAAGTGCAAGGGTCATTCACTATTGATTATATCTTTGCATTGAAGTACCTAGTATGAAGACAATTTTGACATCAAATTCTAAAAATTTCTATGGGTGGGAGAATTTAATTTTCAAAAGTGCATACAAAATGCATTTGTAAATGAACTCAAAAAAGTTATGCTTGTAAGATTTTATATGATAATGTGAGAATAATCTACACAATCTTATCTATACATTTGTGTATTTCTTTCAGTTTGAGTCTCTGATTTTTATCAATATTTGCTCTTTTGGGAGATCACTCTCCTGGCTGTTTGTATATATATTGAAGGTGTGCATGTGGTCAGGGTTTTGATTTTTATTAATATTTGCTCTTTTTGGGAGATAGTTGAACTTTGTCATTTTTGGAGAATATACTTGCATAAGAGGTGCATAGCATTTCTGGATAACTTCTCCTACAGTTTGAATGCTAGGAAGTTTTCACTTTGCTGGCTGTTTGTACATATATTGAAGGTGTGCATGTGGTCAGGGTTTTGATTTTTATTAATATTTGCTCTTTTGGGAGATAGTTGAACTTTGTCAATTTTTGGAGTATTTTCTTACATAAGAGGTGCATAGCATTTCCAGATAACTCCTCCTACAGTGAACAATAGACCTATGTGCTCCCATGCTCAACTTTGTGTATTTTACTTTGCATCTGCAGGGGTATCAATTGTGTCTCCCAAACACAATAATATCTCAAAGAAAGTCCTACATTGACTTTGTTATAATACAGTTACTTCAGAGTGGAGTGCGGGGGCATCACTTTCTCTAGTTTGAGGTTGCCTACCCATGCCTTGTAGGGATGGGAAGGTAGGTAGTGATTTTATTATTTTTTTTAGGCCAACAACATAAGTTACATGTTTAAGACAAGAAATGACGTTAAAGCAGGAAAAAATCTTTTAAAAAAAATTTGAAACAATTTGTATCATTAAATTTTTTCGTGTAGGCTGGATTTTAGGTGGGTAGGTAGGCAACATCAAACAATTTAAATGTTTGGCCTAGAAGCTCTCAAAATGGTGTCCATAGTTCTTTTTCTTTCAGGATATAGACAATCTTCTAATGATCTCCATGAATGTCAGGAAAAAAAACAATAAAAAATGCTCACCCTTTTATAAGGGGCAGGAACCAAAACAAAACACCCGATTTTCTGGGAAATACAGTATTTTTTTAATTTTTTTAAATGCATTAGATTAATGTCAGTGAATCAGTAAATTAATAACACAATTTTCTTTAAACTTTTTAATGTCCTGCAGAGCTTATTCTGAAAGAAAGTGTCTACTCAACAGATCTGAAAATCACTTAAATGGCACAACTCATCTGATAAAATTAAAGACTAAATATCAAATGATTTCTCAATTCAGAAGTTAGTAGACATAATGCATGTTATAAACAAACTGACTGATGGACAAGCTGATTGCAGTATACCACTGAGTTGGTGAATGGAACAATGCATATTTTTTCTTTGTAAATTACATCTAAGCCATGTTAGTGATTTGTCTGTTGTTAGATATCATCTTTTATCACATCATACCTCCTCAAAAAGTCCAACATTTATTTATAAATTTATAAATTGTTTTACTGATTTATGATTCCTATTGCTGTGAATTCATTATTATTTGTTGGATACCAGTTTTCATGGGCATAGGGGAACCACAAATTTGAATATTTATAACAAATCACAAATTTTCTATAGGAATGTATACATTAATTTTTAAAACCATGAAATCAAATATCTACGAAAATGCAGTGTACCTCAATCCATGAATATTGGTACCCACGAATACAAATGAATCCACAGTTTATTTTATACAGTTTTGTAGGAAAAGTGGTATGCAGAGTACTTTTATTTGTGATTATCTGTTTCAGGAATGTGACAAGTAAGACTTGTCCAATCTGTAGAGAAAGGGTGAACAGTGTGGAAGACACTTGGGTATTAACAGAAAAACCAGATACAACAGAATATGAAAAAGATGTCAAAGGTTACCTGGTCAGTCTAGCTGATAGGAAAGATTCCTGATGTTGTTAACTGCTCAATAGTTTACATACTATCATTATAATATACAGTATATTTTGTGTGATTGAGATGGTACATTTAAAGGGTAAAATTGTCTCTGAATGTAAACTTTTTAATTAATTTTCAAATTAGCAATAGCTGATTTTTATTCAATGAACTGATTTATTTATGGTCTTCCAACTAGCAAAAGTATGATGACTGCACTTATTTAGAAACAAAAAGATACGAGAAGCCAAGCTACATGTATTTTAAAAGAACTTTGCTTAAATCCAAATGTAAGAAGTAACAGATAGGTCTGATACATTAGTAATACAGTTGACTCAATTTTAACTTTTGAGTCATTGTTGCTAGCATTAACTATTTTCTTACAATGACAGACTGTAAATTTTTTCTTCCTTTCTGACTCAGTACACATATAAATAAAATCTTCCATGATTTATAGCAATAATTTAGTTTTTGTAAATAAAATTAGTTACTCATATTCTATAATTAAATGGTCCCAGAATTTTGGTGTACAAAGTAAATTAATCTACAATATTCCTTCAGTTTAAGCTTGTTTTAGTTAAAATATTAATCACTGACAAAAAAGTTGTGAATATTTTATAAATGGTGGCTTTTTGATATATGATTTGCTGATTCAGCCATGATTTCCATATGCAATCTTGTAAGCAGACTTAGCATAATTGCTTGCTGACTGCCTGTCAGTCTTTTTGTAGTAAACTTTTTAAAAAATGATTTTCTGAAATTATCTGACTAATTAACCAAAGTTATTTACCTAGATGATCACCATACATTTTTGGTTATTTTTAATTATAGAGTTAGACAAATATTTGCATAGACCAGAACAACGATCCACATTTCTTAATTTTATTACATACAAAATATACTAAGAAGAACAACAAAAGTCTTCATAAATTTACAAATATTCTACAAATTAACTCAAATTTTGAAAATGCATTGTGATTGTATGTTTTGTAGTTGTCCACTAACAGACAACATATGGCAGCCTTTTGAAGACACAGTTATTTCATTAATTGTCCAGTCCAGCAATTATTCAATATTGATTTTAACAAAGAATCATTTAATGCTAGCAACCATCTTGATGTTGTTACAATAATTATTGAAGACCATATAAACATGTGTATATCAATTGTGCAGATAAAAATAATCGATCCTATTATATATGACTGTTTTCTATTAGAATAATGTCTCGTGTGCAGCCAACTTATTATCCCCTATTTCAAAAGTTCAGGAAGTGTTTCATTTTATAAGAACTATTTTTCTTACTGTGTGTGTTTATTATAGAGAAAGACATCAAATTTTATTTATTCATCAGCATTGAAAGATTCGTTTTTCATACAGTAGACTGGTAATTATACCATTACATGTTTTAGAACAAATGTTATTTAATTTAACATTAGTACATATTGAATGTATATTTGGATTAGACTTTCTTTCTGTTGTTCAAGAAGAAGATCTTCATACTTGTATATACTGGCACATGTATGTAGTTTTAAATCACATGGCCATATAATATATTCATAACTGGGTGTCTATTGCCTGTCTGTTGTCCATGATTTACTTTTCCAATTTTTAAGGATGGTTTGCAAAACAGCATTTGAATTAACCATTGGCTAACCTTTATTATGGTATAATATCTAGGAAGGTTTAAAGGGGTTCGGGAAGTCTAATAACTTTTTTTCCAATCATAAAAAAGAATGTTTTTTGCCATTCAGGCTTATAGAATTTAGAATTATACTTTATTTGTTAAGCTACACTTGAAATGTTCTATTGAAATAATTTAAAAATCATAAGAATTATGTTTGATATAAAAAATATGTAAAGGGTTGCATGGAACCCTGTTTCTCACCTGGGATTGCTGTTGTCAGTGTAAAAGTATAATGTTGACTGTAAAAAGTGAGTACATTTATCACTAACATACCGGCACAGAATTTAAAAAAAAAATTTCTTCAAATGCTTTTTCCTTATCTTCAAAATTAGCTTCTGTCCAAGTTTTATAAAGGAAGGTTTACAAATTTATCATGTCAAAGAAATTTTGTCAAATATGCACACTGATCTTAGCAATTGATTATTGATGGGATTGTCTTAAACTTAAAAAAAAATTTAGTTTATTTCATTTTTATACGCCCATTTACGGGACGTATTATGATATACTTCTGTCCGTCGTCAACACATCTGACAATAACTCAAAAAAGGCTTTAACCAATTTTTATGAAACTTTGGTGAATTTTTTATAGCTATTGACGTAAGCTCTCTTTCGATTTTTATAAATTTTAGATTTTACTTTTCCGAGTTATGGGATTTTATTCAGAAAAAGGGGGATTTTCCAGTTTTCAGACAATAACTCAAAAATGCTTTGAGCAGTTTTCATGAAACTTTGGTGTTTGGTTTATATCTATTAAAATAACCTCCCTTTAGTTTTTATACGACCGCAAAAATTTTTTTTTTGCGTCGTACATTGGTATGATGTCGACGTTGTCTGCATCTGCCTTGTCGTCCGAAGACAAATTTGGTTTCCGGAACATTAACTTTAGTTTAAGTGAATGGGTCTCTATGAAACTTTACCAGAAGGTTCAATACCACAAAAGGAAGGTTGGGATTGAGTTTGGGGGTTATGGTACCAACAGTTTAGGAATTAGGGGCCAAAAACAAGTATTTTTGTTGTTCCCAGACAATAACTTGTGTGTAAGTGTATGGATCTTTCTGAAATTGTACCACAAGGTTCCATATCACAAAAGGAAGGCTGGGATTGAGTTTGGGGGTAATTGCCCTAAAAGTTTAGGAATTTGGGGCCAAAAAACAAGCATTTTTCTAGTTTCCAGACAATAACTTGTGTTAAAGTTATGGTTAATTGCCCTAAATGTTCTGGAATTAGGGGCCAAAAGCATTTTTCTAGTTTCCAGACAATAACTTGTGTTTATGTGTATGGATCTCTCTGAAATTCTAATGCAAGGTACCATACCACAAATGGAAGGCTGGGATTGAGTTTGGGGGTAATTTCCCCAAATGTTTAGGAATTGGGGGCCAAAAAGGGGTGAAAAACAAGAATTTTTCTAGTTTCCAGACAATAACTTGTGTTTAAGTGTATGGATCTTTCTGAAAGTGTACTGCAAGGTACCATAACACAAAGGGAAAGCTGTGATTGAGTTTGGGGGTAATTGCTAAAAGAGGCGTTAGAAAATATTGGGGGGGGGGGGGGGGGGGGGGGGGAATTTTTTAAATTTTTTTTTTCATAATTTTTTTTGTTTTTACACGAACGCAAAATTTTTGTGATCGTATATTGGTATGAAGTTGGCGTCGTCGGCGTCATCGTCCGAAGACACATTGGTTTTCGCACTCTAACTTTAGTTTAAGTGAATGGATCTCTATGAAATTTTACCATAAGGTTCAATACCACAAAAGGAAGGTTGGGATTGATTTTGGGGGTTATGGTACCAACAGTTAAGGAATTAGGGGCAAAAAAGGGGCCAAAAACAAGCATTTTTGTAACTTCCAGACATAACTTGTGTGTTAGTGTATGGATCTCTCTGACATTGTACCACAAGGTTCCATATCACAAAGGGAATGCTGGGATTGATTTTGGGGATAATTGCCTCAAAATTTTAGGAATTAGGGGCCAAAAAAGGGGCAAAAAACAAGCATTTTTCTAGTTTCATGACAATAACTTGTGTGTTAGTGTATGGATCTTTCTGAAATTGTACTACAAGGTTCTATATCTCAAAGGGAAAGCTGGAATTGAGTTTGGGGGTAATTGCCCAAAACGTTTAGGAACAAGGGGCCAAAAAGGGGCCAAAAATAAGCATTTTTCTAGTTTCCAGACAATAACTTGTGTTCAGGTGTATGGATCTCTCTGAAATTGTACTGCAAGATACCATACCACAAAGGGAAGGCTGGGATTGATTTTAGGGGTAATTGCCTCAAAATTTTAGGAATTAGGGGCAAAAAAGGGGCAAAAAACAAGCATTTTTCTAGTTTCAGGACAATAACTTGTGTGTAAGTGTTTTGATCTTTCTGAAATTGTACTACAAGGTTCCATATCACAAAGGGAAAGCTGGAATTGAGTTTGGGGGTAATTGCCCTAAACGTTTAGGAATTTGGGGCCAAAACACAAGCATTTTTCTAGTTTCAGACATTAACTTGTGTTCAAGTGTATGGATCTCTCTGAAATTGTACTGCAAGGTACCATACCACAAAGGGAAGGCTGTGATTGAGTTTGGGGGTGATGAATCATAAGGGGGTTCAAAAAATATGGGGGGGGGGGGGGATTTTTTTTTTCTTTAAAATTTTCCATTTAAAATTGGTTATTTCTGATTTATATATAAAAGCAAATAATAATGATATGGTTTGAATAGGTAAATTAAAAAATTTTAAGTTCTTAGACTAGACCACATTCATTCTGTGACAGAAACCTGTGCTGTGTCAAATATTTAATCACAATCCAAATTCAGTGCTGTATCAAGCTTGAATGTTGTGTCCATACTTGCCCCAACTGTTCAGGGTTCGACCTCTGCGGTCGTATCAAGCTGCGCCCAGCGGAGCATTTTATTTTTCTTAAAATTGTCCATTTTTGCATTTATTATTTCTGATTTATATTTAAAAGCAAAAAATACTGATATGGCAGGAGATACACACCAAAAATAACCTGTAAATTATTGTATGAAGTATTGTGCAACAGCACACTATTGCGCATTAGCAGGAAATCTTCGATTGCATTGTATTGTGCAATAGCAAGAAATCTTCAATTGCATAGTATTGCGCAATAGCATAATTTTGCACAATAGCAAGAAATCTTCAATTGCACAGTATTGCGCAATAGCAAGAAATCTTCAATTGCACAGTATTGCGCAATAGAAAGAAATCTTCAATTGCACAGTATTGCAGAATATCAAGAAATATCCAATTGCACAGTATTGTGCAATTGCAAGAAATCTTCAACTGAAAATTAATACAAATATTTCAACCCATTTCAAATTTTTAAGATTTTTCACTACATTTATTTTGTGTCAGAAACCTATATTTTGTCAAAAATTTGATCACAATCCAAATTCAGACAGTATCAAGCTTGAATATTGTGTCCAAACTTGCACCCAACTGTTCAGGGTTCGTCCTCAGCGGACGTATCAGGCTGTTCTCAGCGAAGCATTTTATTTTATAAACTTCTGATATGACATTGAGGAATTATGGAACTTTATTCATTGAAAAAGTGACAGGCATATCATGTGCTCATGGCTTAGCTCTTTATTCCCTTGAAAAGTTGATTTGCTTCTAATTCGTACAGGCATGTAGCTTTCTTGAATATTTGAAACAAATAGTTATCTGACTGACATTCAGCATCCCAGAAAATGTGCAATAAATTTTTTTTAAAAGCATTTAAAAAGAGTGAGGGCTTTCCTGTAAAAGAGAAACTGTGGTCTATTTTCGGCTAGATACACAATTAAAAGTGTACTTTAAGATTACACACATAAACCCTTAATAAAGCATCATCAATTTGTATTTACTTTCTGTGTGTCTGTGTTCAAAATTGAAGACCTATTTAACTGATAGAAAAGAAAGCTGAACCTTCTTTGTGTTGCTATTTAGTTCCTATATTGAAAAAGGTAGATAAATATATGGGTAGGGTTAAACTATTTTTTTGAGCACTCTTCTTTCCCAATTCATTATCTTGGTCATTTGAGTAATGAAAGGTATAGAGGACGCACATAAAAAAAATTAGTGTAATAAAGCCTTGAACTCAGTTATATAAGTATAATAATTGACAAAAACATATGTACAAGTAAATCAGTTCTATATAATTCTGTATGCAAAAACCTTGTAGTTACTGTAAGCAACCTCAGTCTTTTAATCTGCTGACATCAAGTTATACCTTTTTACACTCTTGTAGTGTGTTAGCTGTGCACCCAAGTTAGTGTCATACAGTATGAAGAATGACTCTATTTTCACATAAGCATTTCTTATTTTCTAATGAAGTTTTACAAATAAGATGCAACTTAATTGATTATTTTGCAGTGAGCTCGAGTCTGATGCTTATTATAAAATAGAGGATGCACAAATTTTAATTTGTTTAGCTTTTTACTCATTTTTGTCGAGCCTTCGACTTTTGTCGAAAAAGCGAGACATAGCGATCCTAAATTCCGTCGGCGTCGTCGTCGTCGTCGTCGTCGTTGTCGTCGGCGGCGTCCACAAATATTCACTCTGTGGTTAAAGTTTTTGAAATTTTAATAACTTTCTTAAACTATCCTGGATTTCTACCAAACTTGGACAGAAGCTTGTTTATGATCATAAGATTATATTCAAAAGTAAATTTTGTAAAAAAAAAATTGCATTTTTTCCGTATTTTACTTATAAATGGACTTAGTTTTTCTGCCAGGAAACATTACATTCACTCTGTGGTTAAAGTTTTTGAAATTTTAATAACTTTCTTAAACTATCCTGGATTTCTACCAAATTTGGAAGGAAGCTTGTTTATGATCATAAGATAGTATCCAGAAGTAAATTTTGTAAAAAAAAAATTCCATTTTTTCCATATTTTACTTATAAATGGACTTAGTTTTTCTGCCAGTTAACATTACATTCACTCTGTGGTTAAAGTTTTTAAAATTTTAACAACTTTCTTAAACTATCCTGGATTTGTACCACACTTGGACAGAAGCTTGTTTATGATCAAAAGCTAGTATCTAGAAGGAAATTTTGTTCCATTTTTTCCGTATTTTACTTATAAATGGACTTAGTTTTTCTTCCAGTTAACTTTACATACAGTCTGCAGTTAAAGTTTTAAAAACATTTATTAGATTCAAAAACCATCCTGGATTTTTACCAAACTTGGACAGAAGCTACTTACAATCAAAAGATAGTATAGAGAGGAATATTTTTATTAATTTTTTTCCTCATTTTTGTTGAGCCTGCGATTAACAGCAAAAGTAGGCGAGACACTGGGTTCCGCGGAACCCTTACGAATTTTTCAAGACAAGATGATAAAAAACTCTTGGAGAAAATCAACCTGCTAATGTTCAAGTTCACAGAATTTTTTCTGTTTAATATGTCAAGTAAATTAGTGAAATGCAACAGGAATGTTCACATTGAACAAAATTTATTCAAAAATGATATTAGATTTAAAATACACTCCTCAAATGTTTTGTTCATATTAAATCAATCTAAGAATAGAGGAGGAAATTTACATCAAAAGAGAAAAAAATTGTTGATAAAATATTACAATTGATATAAAAGGCAAATTAAGAACAGTTTCAGTGGTTGAAATTCCCATTTTTATAACAGAAAAATGTCCA